ACCACGTTTATGCAATTTAGTGTTTACTTGCACATCAACATTAAACATCAACTAAACATTTCCCGAATATACCAATCAATAAGAATTTTTTTGTATACTCGTATATACCTACAAATATAATATACATTAACTAACCTTGTGGCTTGTGATGATTATTCCTTAATTTACAAAAAATAAAAAATATAATACGTTAGTTAGCCGAATACAAACAAACATTGCTCCTCGGTAGCTCTTAGAACTGTTTCGTAGACTTCCGAAAATGTTGAACTTATAAAAAAAATTAAATTTTGCAAGATGTTTAATAATATATGTATATGTTTAATAATTTTCTAACAGTGGTAGAGCCACGCGGCAGCATTTGCTGTCGCACGGATGGGCCGGCTCGAACCGGGGTGGTACCACGACCTCACAGAAAACCAGCGTGAAGTAGAGGTTTACCTCTGCGTTTCGCTTGGTGAGTGCAGGTTGCCGGAGGCCCTTTTTACTGGAAATGAGGCATTCTATCTTAGTCCTCACGGGTGACAACGCATCTACATTTTGATTTGTAATAGAGGATAGATGTAGATGTCTATGGGCCGCAGCAACCACTTACCATCAGATGGACTGTGTACTCGTTTGTCACCCTTATAGTATAAAAAAAAAAGATATATTCCAAAAAGTTGTTTTTGCTTTCATTTCATAGCTCATACTAATATAAAACTCTTTTATTATTATAATTTTTTCATATTTCTAACTGGTCCAACAGACAGTATTAAAAATAATAACAGCATTGCACTGCTAAACATCTTTTAGCCTGCTTCCTAATAAAATACAGCCTCGCAATGTGGTCGTTTGCCACGCTCACTGTGGCTAGTGTGGTTGGTAGGGTAGGTTCGCGAGGCGCAAACCTACCCTCCAACCACGCAATCTACTCTACGTTAGGTGGGTGGTTGGTCGCATGGTTTTATCACGTGACGTACGTAGTCGCTCACCTACTTAGGTGGGGAACGGTTACGCCAGCGAGTGCATAAATGGGCAGCGGTTTTGGCTCGCCACTCACCGCTCACTTAGCGGCCAGCCATCGCCGAGGATATATTATATCCTGATGAAGCCTCGCTTAGAGACGAAACGCGTGTCGAGGTATCGATCGTGGTGAGTCTTTCCCAGAGTAGTGGTGTTGGGATTAGTGGTGAAGGAGTTCGTATACGCAATTATAGGAGACCGGGAAGTAATCTTCAATCTTTTTACTACGCGGATCTTAGAGATCAGTGAGATTGTGCGATACCTAACGCGAAACTACTACACTCCGCTCGCGAAGGGTTCGTGTGAATTCTCGTGAACGCTTCCCAGTCCGATTTACAATTTGTGCTGAATATCTTTAGACATAATTCCTAAGACGGCTTCGTGGCGCAGTGGCTTAGCAATGAGTTGCTGCGCTGGGGGCCGCGGGTTCGAATCCCGCACGGAACAAGTATGCCTGCAAATAATTGTTCCGGGTTTGGATGTTTGTCCTTGTGAATTTGTGTTTGTAAACTGCCTCCACGATACAGGAGAAAATCCTAGTGTGGGGGTAACGTTTTTTAAAAAAATAAAAAATAAATAAAAAATAACCTCTTCAATTAAATTTTTCACTGCAGGCACGTTTCTTAAAGTCGACAATGTTAGTTACAGCGGCAATACAGGTTGGCCTACAGAAGGGTCATCCTAAAAACCAGTTGAAGTTTACCAAAAGATTTTTTCAGTTTTAGGCACAGACGTAATATAAAGTTTTAGGCTACATATGAAATCGTTAAACACCATCGCACGAAAATGTTCCAGACGCAAAAGAATAGCGAAATTTGAAATTGGAACATTCGTATTTTTAATTGTAAATAATCGTATTTTCAACATTAAATGACCAGTAAAACTCTCTGCGCGGCCTGTTTTTTCATAGTAACTGTGGTATTAGTAAGATTTTTTTTTAATTAAAAAAAAACAATAAAATTAGACTTACAATAAAATCGTTAAACATGACTAGGCATAATAATTGTCAGGTGAAGCAGCACTAAACCCTGTCATGGTCTTTTTTCGTCTGCTTTTAAACCTTGACTTTCCCGAGCTATATATAGCAAACTTTATGATGTCCACAATTGGTCAAAAGTAAGTACTTAGTCTAGCGAGAAATGTTAGGTACTTAGGACTGTAAAAATGACTTGACTATAATGAATCTTCTAATATTCTTTTGAAAATGACGTATATATATTCTTCTGACTGGAGAACTCTTGAGCTTAGCGCCGACTGCACCACAGTTAACCAGAGATAACTTTCGATTCATATTTAAGGTATGAGAATGCTTTTTTTATAAGATAAGGATGACAAACGAGCACACAGTTCACCTGATGGTAAGTGGTTGCTGTGGCCCATAGACATCTACATCTATCCTCGATTACGATCAAAATGCAGATGCGTTGTCAGCCGTGAGGACTTAGATGGAATGCCTCGTTTCCAGTAAAAAGGATCTCCGGTTCTCTACACTCACCATACGAAACACAGCGGTGTTGAGTTGCTATTTTACGCTGGTATTCTGTGAGAGCGTGGTCCTTCTCCGGTTGAGCCGACCCATTCGTGCTACAACTACACCAGAAATATAGCTGCAGCATGGCTCTACCACGTATAAAAATATAGCTGCAGCATGGCTCTACCACGTATAGAAATATAGCTGCAGCATGGCTCTACCACGTATAGAAATATAGCTGCAGCATAGCTCTACCACGTATAGAAATATAGCTGCAGCATGGCTCTACCACGTATAGAAATATAGCTGCAGCATGGCTCTACCACGTATAGAAATATAGCTGCAGCATAGCTCTACCACGTATGGAAGAAAAAATATATTTTTCGTCTTTCAACTTCGCACGTAATTGGAATAAAAATTAAATAAGTTATCCTCTTGTATTCAATACTAAGTGTTTAGTTATAAGGACAAGCACAGCAGGAAAATAAATAACTCACAGTTTTATTAAAATCAAAGTAGGTATACAGTTTCATGCTAGATGAACAATGAAAACCAGTTAACATGCAAATGCATCCTCGTAGCGATTCTATCGTTTTAATAACATTTCCTGATCCATTATGAAAATGGGATTTAGATATTGAAAGAATATAAATTACAATATTGTTTAATAATGTCGACGCGGTCTTTTCATAAAGTATCAGGATGAATAACTGAAATAGGTACCTAAATATAAGCCATCTACCTATTACCTCACGGAATCTCGCAACAAATTCCGATAGTGGTCAAAGCCGAAAACCGAAAGCCGACGATAACGGGGGTCGGGGATGTATCTACAGCGGGACTGCAGGTGACGCACTATGGGAGATCTGCGTCTGTTTCTTCAAAACTTCATATTTCAGTTGTTTCAAAATTAATTAAGCTGTAATTTTACATACGTATACCTGGATATATAGGGTCTTTATAGAAAAAAAAAATTCGAGTTAAAATGATAATTTTAAATCAAAATAAAAATTTGACCGCAATAAATATCAAATTTAAGACTTTTATTGACGACAAGTAATTTAGGTCTTGAAAACTGTTTCACATATCTCATTTCAATAAATTTATAACTACAACGTCATCCATGCTATTTTATAAAGAAGTTAAAGTTTTTGAAAAAATTTATTTTTATCTCAAGATGTGTTTTGGGTCCGTATCAAAAAAGGTGCAAGTCAGTGCAATTTTTTTTATCCATAAACAGAGTAATGTGTGAAGATCTTAATGCAATAAATACCTCGACATCGGCAAGCATTGGTAAGAGGCAAATCTCTTGTTAAAAAATAAAATAAAAATAGACCATCTTAAGCAATGCTGGTTATTTTTTTGTTTAATTAACTTATATAATGTAATATTATTTACAAAAAATTTGGAGAAGCATATAAGCATTCCAAAAATGTATATATATATATTATATACTTATATGGAAAACTTTCAAGTAATGTGGCGTTGAATCGTAATAACTTATTTCGTCACAATCATCTAATAGAACGTGACTAAGATTTGATGCTCTTTTATACTTACGTTAAACATACGAAATAAAATAAAAATACATAAAAAGAAACTTTATTTATAATAGTATATTAATTTATAATTTTCATCACGTAACAATGACTTTCGTTTGAAAACAGTTATGAGACGGCTTTGTATGGGGCTTTCCCATAGTGCGGCGTGCGAGTCACAGGGTCTGGTTATCGTTACAGCCTACTAAAAGTCAAATTCTGAAAATAAACTGCCTCATAAGTGGGATATTTGCCATAGTTGCCACGCTTAGCAGGCGGCTTGACAGCCGCAGATTTTTTTTAGTTTTTTTTTTATAGGATAGGGTGACAAACGAGCACACAATCCACCTGATGGTAAGTGGTTGCTGTGGCCCATAGACATCCACATCCATCGTCGCTTGCGAATCAAAATGCAGATGTCTCCGGTTCTCTACACTCACCATACGACACACAGCAGCGTTATTAGGAATTAGTTGTTATTAGGAAGACGCTGCTGCGCATCTCCTGATTTGTTCTTTCTCACTGTCGCCTAATACGACATCCGCGGTAGGATATGGGGTAGGGGATATTCTTACACCGCCAATAACTGTGTGATGGTAATTTCTGCAATTCCTTTGAATATGTCAGTCAATGTGTATAGACTGTAAGAAATATCTTTAATAGTTGACTTGACTATTTAACATCGCCATGTCGTATAGGTAATAAAAGAAATGCACAGACTTACGACAGAAAGCAGTCTCAAAGTTGCGAACCATCATCAATAAATCCGCCCGTCAGACATGACAATTACGGCAACTCCGTAGGAGTAATAGTGTTCTGCGGGCAAAGCCTTCCTAATACGTCCAGCCAAATTAAAACAAAGCGATTTAAATTTAATATAATTCTAAAACGGGCATAAAATATTTATATTTGTCTTTATATTGGCACATCGGCATTACGAGTATCGGCAACAACAATGTCCTTATAAAGGGTCGGGAAAAACGATTGCATTTATTTACGGTGTTCGCGTCAGCTCGAGGGGGTTTTACGTGTTTGCGAAGACCTTGCGGGCCGGGTTGCGCGTTCGCTTGAGAAATGTTTATTTCTATATAAACGAATGGCGACTGACGGTGTGTATCACTGCAGCTGCTGACGCCGGAACAAGCCGTGGAGCAAAATCAATACATTTTTGCATTTACAAGAGCAAGTCTATAAAATGAAGTATCTTTTCGGTAAGCATATCAATTATTGTTTACGTTCTCATAATATTATTACATTTGTAATTATGAGATGTCCTTAAATTAGTTAAATTATTTATTTATTGTATACCTATACAATGTAGGTACTCTGTAATTATTTACAAACTATTATTTGACTATATTATTCGAAACAATACCTAACTATACCTACTTTTTTATTTCAAATGTAGACATTAATATATAGTAAATGACGATTTAGAACGCGTATTGTAAAAATTTATTGACGAAAAAATTTTTTATGCTTTTAACGGTTATGAAAATCTATTTATTCAAGATTATTTTAAGTATTTTTTTTTAAATTGAAGTACACACGTGCGGCCAGCAAAATATCAACATAATATATTAAATATTTTAGTTCTTCTCGTATCGTAGAACGTTTTAGATACACAATTTGCATGTGAACAAACGTCCAACTTGCAGCAATAATTTGTGGGCCCTACAAACACTTGTTCCGTGTACGATTTGAACCAGCGACTCCGCAGCAATGCTAAGCCATGAGACGTGTGTCATTCATCATTCAAATATTGATTCGTCTTACTAACCGGGTTATTCGGGTCAATCATTCAAATTGATCATTTTGAGTTTGTTTCAGTACTCTGTGATCTGTGAGAGCCGCTCGATAATGTTGGTCGTTTGACGTTACCGTACTATAATCTTTGTCGTAGGTCCTGTCAATCGTTTGATCCGGAAAGTTCAAAAAATATAATTGCAATTTGCAATCATCAATAGTTTGATGCGCCTCAGGCCAAATGAACGAATCATCCACTATTGTCATTTGTCATGTCTATTAGCCAATGCGCTATCGAATTTTGTTTGAAAAGATTTCAGCACAGAGTAATATAGTTATGTACGTCTACTTAGTTAAATAGATAAAAAAATATATACCGAAAAAATTAAAACACTAAGCGAACGTATTTCTTTCTAGTTTATGAAAATAAATAAAATATTTTTTTGTAATTGAGTAATATTACAGAGTTTATATTATTATAATATCAACCATCTTACTTGGGTAAAGAACATCCGATAATCAATTAGTACATAATTAATCTGTCGTTTTTATTGAACAATTCATACGACCCTCACTACAATCAAGTTGCAGAGGTCAACTTACGATATAATACGCAGCAGTAATAATAAATGATACAAGACATTTAAAAGTATAGTTATAGACAAAATAAGACCACCACGTTATAGCTGAAATAAATAATCTTTTGTCAGTTTTCATCATAAAATTAAAACGGGATTTCCGACGAACACGTGCATCCTCCTGAGCTTGAAAGATGTACTTATTTTTAATTATATATACAAGACTTTAACAATCACAATGGACCTATACAGTACATTTTAATATTTATTTACCAAAGCAAACGTTTAATTAAACGTACCCAGCGGTGAAGGAAAACAACAAGAAACCAGGTCCACCAGTCAGGGGAATAAATTATTTCGAGGACATGTGAAGTCCACTAGCATGCACTGGAGCAGCGCGGCGAACTATTATTTTTAAAAACGTTACCTCTACACTAGAATTTTCTCCTGTATCGTGGAGGCAGTTTACAAACCTAAACTGCACAAGTACAAACATTCAGACCCGGAACAACCATTTGTATGCCATACAAATACTTGTTCCGTACGGGATTCAAATCCGCGGCCCCCAGCGCTAAAACCCATTGCTAAGCCACTGCGCCACAGAGCCGTCGAATTACTTAGTGATTATATACCACACCATATTATAATCCCCACGTAATTGCAAGTTATAAAATCAATACAATGTCAATATAATCAAAGTCAATTACATGTAAAGTGAGACCTAAGTTGAGATTAAATCAAGCATGAAATAATTTGAATACTTGACTTTGATACAATAATAATAAAATATATAATAATAATGTCCTCCAGACCGATTTTCGGTTATCGCGGCTAGTCTAATGGAGACTAGCCATTTTTTGCGCCTATAGCAAGGCTAACCCTCCGGAAGCGGGGAGGTGGTGAATGCTCATAGCATACCACGCAGCCGGATGCGTGGTTATGTGCGACTCACTTTGAAGTGCCTTTTTATAGGATATGGTGACAAACGAGCACACAGTCCACCTGATGGTAAGTGGTTGCTGTGGCCAATAGACATCTACATTTATTCTCGTTTACGAATCAAAATGCAGATGCGTTGTCACCCTCTAAATAATCTTCTCTCTTAATAAGTATATTCATTAAAACATTACTTTAGACATTAGATTATAAGTTTATTAATATTAGATTGGATATTAAAATAAAGATTATTATGACTGTTACTGATCTCGTATATTTTGTTGGTATGGTACCATAATGGTATCAGATTTAACGACTAACAAATAACTAAAGAATAACAAATTTTCTGCGTGGTAGAGCCATGCTGCAGCTATATTATGGTTGTAGCACGAATGGGTCGGCTCGAACGGGGAAGGACCACGCTCTCACAGAAAACCAGCGTAAAATGGCAGCTTAGCGCTGCTGTGTTTCGTGTGGTGAGTGTAGAGAACCGGAGACCCTTTTTACTGGCAAAGAGGCATTCCATCTTAGTCCTCACGGGTGGCAACGCATCTGCATCTTGAGTCTTTATTGAGGATAGATGTGGATGTCTATGTGTCACAGTAACCACTTACCACCAGGTGGACTGTGTGCTCGTTTGTCACCAGATCCTATAAAAAAAATTGTGATCTTAGTATATAACCTAGGATAAGACATTTTTTAAATTTTCTTAGGCTGCCCTTGATACCATTATGATTCGTTTTATTCATTTTCAATATATTATGTATTAAAGTAACTCTTTTTGTTTCACTATTACTCACCATTTCATGACAGAACAAGGGCGTAACTCGTAGATAAAAGGCGAGCCTGGACAAAACAAGGCGCAACGATAAGGCGTATCTTTTTCCAGAGCTTTTTTAATAGTAATTTCAAGACTGTAATACATTTAAGCTGTATTCATCGTCTAGTTCTATTATCATATAATACTGTCCTACTAGTAATTTTCCATTAAATCTAATATTTTTCATTTTCTAAAGAAAAAAAGCAACTATCGGGGGGAAAAAAATGTTTTCTTGCTCTCCTGACGTTTTTTGAAAATTGAGGTTCGCCTCTTTGCGGCGGTGGCGACCAATAGTTTCCGCAGCGTACGCGATTCGTTTTGGTATTTTTCACACCTTGGGTTACATTAACGAAGTTTTCATACGGATTCCTAACTTTTTTGAAAATATTATATAGCCTATGTTCATCAGAGATAATGTGGGATTTTAATGGTGAAAGAATTTTTTAAATCAGTCCAGTAGTTTCGGAGCCTATTCAATTCAAACAAACAAATCTTTCCTCTTTATAATAGTAGTGTAGAAGTGTAGATGTAACCGTATTTTTCTTAGTTTTTACCCTATGTAAATAATCTGAATTTCTTACATTAACAGGTTTAACGCTCCTCATAGGGACATACTTCTCCGTCACATCTGCGTTACCACCATGCGTTTGCACGAGAGATAGAAAGCCCGTCTGCGGCTCCGATGGCATAACATACAGCAACAAATGTCTATTAGACTGCGCGCGTTCCACCAACCCTGATATAACTCTAGCCAGAACAGGTGCGTGCGAGAGAAACGAACCCGCAGGATCTAATTGTGTTTGCACTTACGATTATAAACCAGTATGCGGTACAGATGGGGAGACTTATCCCAATTCCTGTTCTCTTAAGTGCCGACAAACGGAAAATCCAGGCCTTGATATAAGTCATAGAGGAGCATGCCGGAACAACCGGGAAGTTGAAAACTCTTGCGTCTGTACTCGCGAAACTAAACAAGTGTGTGGCACTGACGGGATCACTTACAATAACCCATGTCTGCTGGACTGTGCCCGTGAATCAAACCCTGACCTTCGCGTTCTCCATGCTAGCCCGTGTGAGGAAGAATTAATAATTGAACTGCCAAAGCATCGCCCCTGCGTCTGCACAAGGAATTTGCAACCTGTCTGTGCCTCTAATGGTGTTACTTACAGCAATAAATGTATGATGGAATGCGCGGGAATTCACCTGACAGTAAAGAGTTTTGGTTCTTGCGAAGACTCGTAAATATTTGTTTAAGTGATGTAAACCAGAATTAATCATCAGAGTACAAATATAGAAAAGAGTACATTACAAAGATTATAAAATTGTGATGTAAATTTTACGAGCAAGACTAAAATGTCAAAGAGCGCTTGCCAAATTTTTGTGGGTGTTTAATTTATCTTTTTTTTTTTTATTTGTGCATTATAAGGCTTTGTGTTGCGAGAATGTGATGAGGTATGAGAGATGAATATTTTGTTTGGAATTCGACATCTATTGTTACACTCGGAGCTTTATTTATTATTACTTTACATTTTTGTGCTGGACTTTCAAACCTCTCTTATCGTGTTAGGTTTTTGCACTTATGTAATGCAAGTTATGTAAGTAAATGAATGCTAGATTTACTTTATAAAATCTAATTGATTTTAAATACAATTAAAAAGTGTATTTCGGTGCAAACTATGCTGCATTGTTATTAATTTTTTCAACGAAATAAATCTTTTGTATAGATACGAGCGTACGTAGGTGCAAGCACCCTACGTGCTTGTTGTTTGGAACTTACAATGTTAAATTATTTTAACTGTAAATTATAAACCTTTTTATTAAAAATATTTTGTTGGAAGATAATCAGATTTTTTGACCTTATAAATGTGTAACCACTGAAGATAAAGCGATAAAACAAACAGTAAGTAAATCTCTATTTAACAAACACTTAGTAAATGTACTTCATTTATTTGATATCGGTGAAAATAACTAGACTTTTGCTTCATAAGTTTTATGTTGGAATACCTTAAAACATTCGGAAAATACCTAGCTTTCGGAGGTTACGACATCTTTTTGTTTCTTTAGGCTACTTTAACTTGAGGGACTTGTGGGATGGATTTTCTAACGAAACCACTGCTTAGGGACCTAAAGCTGGAGATGCAGTATTCAACTAAATCTCCTTTACTGCCTAAGACTCTATCTGAGTAGGTTTTATATTGCTATTAAAGTAATGTACAAGCTAACTGTCCTAATATCAAAAGTGGCTACTGATGTCCATTAACACAAAGATACATTATCACCACTTATACTTTTTTTTTTTATAAAACTGAAGATACAAAAGAACTTATAGTCCACCATAAGGTAAGTGGATGCAATGGCCCCTAGATACATCCACGATTAAGAATCAATATGCAGATAGATTGTCACCCCTGAGGAATAAGATGGAATGCCTCTTTACCAGCAAATAGAATCTCCAGTTCTATACCCAAACCAAACAAAACACGGAAGCATTATTCTGTAAGAGCATGTTCCTAACCCGGTCGAGCCGATCCCTTTGTGCTGCAGCTATGTATAGCTAGCATAGCTGCAGCGTGGCTCTACCACGTAATATATAAATATACGTAAGGGTGCCCATGGACATCTATAGCCTACTTCAAACAAAGGCTACATATGCTTTGTGACCCCTGAGGACTAAGATGGAATGACTCAAAGCCAGGAAAAATACTGGCTGAGCCACACTGAAGCTATATTATGGACAGAATCACAAAATACCAGCATAAAATAGTAGTTGAATGCTGCTGTGTTTCGTATGTGGTAAGTGTAGAGAACCGAAGACCCTTTTTACTGGAAATGAGGCATTCCATCTTAGTCCTCACGGGTGACAACGCATTTTGATTTTTAATTGATGATAAATGTAGATGTCTATGGGCCACAACATCCACTTACCATCACGTGGACTATGTGCTTGTTTGTCATTGTCACCCTTTTTTTCCCCATTTTTTTTTTGATTATTTTAGTTTAAAACCCTTATTCTATAAAAATATTCTGGCCATGCACAACGCACGCCCACACAATGTAGAGGTAGTTTTCCGTACTTGTCCATCACAAGACGTGGATTAAGAAGGGGCCCTCTTGATACCATGAGCATATTGAGTTCATGGGAGATTACGATACATCTTCTCGTCAGGGATACCTCAAAACGTCAAGAAAAGAGTGCGTATTGCCAGTGATGACTTCTCTGGCAATACGCACTCTTTTCTTCTTGATCTCAGACGTGATCCTTCACTGCTGGTTGTATGAGGAATCTCAAGGTTGGTCAGCGAGCTATGGAGACGGTTATATTCGGGTTTCTCTCCGTGATTGACTTAAAAATGAGGATATCTGCAGTAGAACCAGAGCAACCGACGTAGCCCAATGGATTAGTAAGCTGAAGTGGCAATGGGCCGGCCACATAGAAAGTTTCTCGAGTGGCAGCCTCGTGTCGATAAACGAAGTGTAAGGCGGCCCTTCACTAGACGGAGTGACGATCTGGTAAGACATGCAGAAAGTCGATGGATGCAGGTGGCTCAGGACCATGCTTTCTAGCATTTCTTGGGGGAGGCCTATGTTCAGCAGTGGTCTTGTGAAGAGCTGTAATGCTAATGAAGCAGTGAGCTCGCGGTTTGACCGCTATAGTGACTAAAAATAGGACAAAATGGTCATAGTTACCTATCCATCTATTAGTTGAACCCTAAGATTAAAACCATGACCATAACGAACCTTCCCTAAACCACCACTGCCCTAAACTATCCTGAGGGTCGCTCGCACAAAACAAGTGTACCACGAATGAAACTGTATAAATGTATGAATACTGTGAATGAAGTTTACAATAAACTACCAACTAAAAAATATGCGAAAGTGGTATGACAGGATCAGCCTCTTGACGATCGATCCTCTCTGCCTACCCCACAAAGGAAAAGTATAGTTAAAGTAATAAAGCATAATTATGTCAAGTGCTTCTAACTTGGTCGACTTTTACTCGTTAACTTATTAGGCCTACTTAGCTGTAATAGTTTTCCTTTGAATTTCATTATATATAATGCACTACTAACGTGCATACTTTTCACATTTCCAAAAACAGCGGTTGGTAGGACGAGGGGACACATGACTCTAATAAAAATCTTTTGAAAGCTAAATATTTCGCGAACGGACCACTGAATCGAAAAATTGTTCTATTACCCCCAATATTTTTAAAGAACTATCCAATGACACCACCCACGGTGGAACAGACGGGTAGAAAAAAAATCATCCTCCCTTCACGGGAGGTACCCATAAAAAAAATGTTTTTAAGATTTTGTTTCAGTTTTGTAGGCGTGATTAACATCTATAACTATGCCAAATTACAGATTTGTAGCACTTAGGGTCTCTGAGAAAAACCGCGGACGGACACACGTACATAGCGAAACTATAAGGGTCCTTGTTGTTCAACTACGGAACCCTAAAAATGGCTCTTTATATACCTTTAGGCCGGAACACAGCAATGCAAGCGCTGCGATTTAGCTGAAGAAATCGGTAAGAGAGTGCTACTCAGACGAACTAGACAGAAAATAAATCCCACCACCCAGTATTTTCAATTAATCTGGATCTTCTTACGCTTGCTCTTCCAACAGTGCACTATACAAAAGTTTTAGCGGGAACTTGACCGGCGGCGGTTTGCCGCTCCTGTATTATTGTTTAAATAATGGTTTGAAGTGGACTTTGATATGTAAAAGTGGTGCGATTTTGTGTATTAAGTGTCTACGCATGTGAACTATTAGTGGAAACGGTGAAACAAGTGCTCTAATGGTGATGTGATTCTCAAGATAACGTGTCTGCCTGCTTAGGCGCCTTGAGATACCATCGCTAACTGTCAGATGTCTGCTGGCTCAAGTTACCGTCGAAATCTCCCAGGGGCTGTACAATGTAACGCATCAACATATTGTGAAGCAGTGTACTATGAAGAATAATTATACATTGTAACTTCAGGCTCAGAAGGGCTAGGCTAGAACCCAGAGTCGTAAAGCCAGTTATAGAAAAAAACTATATGAACATAGAGCAGTGTGATTTTGTAAATCTAGTGGGAATATTTGCCTGTGGGAATCACTTAGCAACTGCGTTATGTTTTTTTTTTCTAATTATAATAACACTGAAACTACAAAAGACATCGCCTTTTAATCGATAGTGATACATTTACACAAAACAACGAAATTAAACGTCAAAACACCTAGATACGCATCCCATCAGACCTAACAATCGCACAGCAGGTTTGCAGGTTAATAGTAGCATAATTACAGATTATGAGACATTTGAGAATCTACTACCTATCATCCAAGCCGTAAGAGGGAACAGACGGAAATGAAACCGGAAATGGGCGGCGGAATCTTCCTGATAATACTTCGATCAACAACACTGATCTAAGTGATAATAACTCAAAAAAACCTAGCAAGCTAACAGCATTGCAAAGTGGCGAAGCAATCAGCTTTGTAGCGGTTTCTAACGGTTGCCGTTGAGCAATCAGTTTCAAAATAGGAGGTTCAGATGCCTGGGTGATCAGTAATCGATTGCTGAAAACAGAATTTGAAAATTCAAAACCGTTCTCGAGATAATCGTGGGACAGACGGACAGACGGACAGACGGCGAGACATCGTGTAATCAATAAGTGACTTCGCAAGCTTCGCCACTTAATAATGAAAATGACATGTGGTCGGTTCACACGCGGTAAAAGTGGAACCTTCAGAAAACTAAACTTCAATAGAATGAGACGAATGCAGACTATCAGCAGTAGGATATATGTAGGGTTTATATAATTAATTGAAATTCATAAAATTTAAGTAGTAAATTGCAGAGCACATTTCTAAACCTAGCAAATATGATGAATCAACTAGGTGGGAAAATAGTCGACAAGATGTTGATGGCGAAGATACTTGGAAGGTGCTTGGAAGAACAAATAATATTTTAACGTAATGAACAGGAGATAACACAGCCCGCCTACTATACTACCACGGCTTAGACAAGTATACAATTAAATAAATTAATAATTTTATCTTTTTAATAATAAATTTATTACAATAATATAGTTAACACTAATAAATACAAAACAGAGTGATAATATTAAATAATGCGTTCTATATTAAGTATTGTGACAATGGATTAGTAGTGACACGGAGAATAGACTGAGGATTTCGTATTTGAAACAGTTCGTTTATAAAAACTTGATTTGTTCTACGGTTTTAAATTGTTCTGCTTACCCTGCGATAGCGTCCTAAAGAGCCTCAATCCCAATTCTCTTTTGGTTTTGGAATTTCTTTCGCGATCAACAAAACCTCCCCTGTCTTCGGATCATATTACACAGCGGTACAACCGCCTCCTTTACGCTAGATGTGGGTTTTTTTTTTCGATTTTCTTCTTCGTTCATAACGTGTATAGCAAACAGCAATGGAGTGAAATAATTTGCCAGGATCAGTCTTTTTTTCCGATTACAATTTAGATGTGTTTAAGGCAAGAGAGAAGTTAAGCTAAGCTAAGTGAGTGCGCTTTACTATCATCGGCTACATCCACCACCAGGTTAGATAAAAGTCAAGCAATGGCTTATAATAGTTAAAAAAATGTAAACTAACAAGAACGGCGACATGAATTAGCATCAAAAGAGCGAGAGGTCGGGTACCGTGATCTCAAGTATCTGTCTACCAAGCACATGTCCATAATTGGTCGATGATAATGGTGAGTTGCTGCTAACAAATGTGGACCTAGTGGAAAAAGACAGGTATAGTATAGGACATACATATAACAAAAACTTACTGTATTTCAGTTGAATTGAAAATCTCCTCCGTTTTTAGATGTCGGCCAATAAAAAAGAACTGAGAATGTACAATGTATATAGAATATAATTTGTGTAATATGAATGTATACATTATAAGCGTA